TGCTCTGTCCGCAGGCCGCCGCTGCCGCTGCTTCGTCCACGGGCCACCGTCGCCGCTACTCCCTCCGCAGGCCGCCGCCATCGTCGCCCGGCATGGAATCTGCAGGTCTCCGCCGCTCCCTCTGCTCCTTCCGCAGGCCGGCGCTGTCGTCGCTCCTCCGCAAGCCGCCGTCGCCGCTACTCCCTCCACAGGTCATCCCCAACGAGTTGCAGTTGGCCGGCCGAGGAGCTCGAGGTGGTTGCGCTCCAGCCAATGCACTAACCCTCCACAACTTGCTGCACCACGGGCGCCTTCCTCCCATACCCCGATGGTGTGCCCTCTCGCTGGCGACGAGAACCATGGGAGTCATATTCTGCTTGCGTGAGCCATGGGCGCAGTGCTACCGGTTTTGTGCACACGGGGGGCTAATTGCGTTTTCGATTTTTGATTAAGGGGTGTGTATATAAACTTGTCGGGACTAGTTTGTAAATATAGATAAAAACTCATTTGTTATGAGAAGTTATGCCACGTAAGCAAAAATAGGGACCCACCTATCATAAACGCGTTCAACAGAGCCAAATCCGCCGATCAGTGGTTTTTGCAAAAAGATTACGTTAGACATAGTGTCTTGTGCAACAAAAATGTAGCATAGTATTTTCTGCAAAACTAGCCTTCAAAATGGTGGTTTCACGCAATTTACTCACCTAACCCACATCTATGTTGGCAAAACACTGATATTTGTAAATGTTATGACATTTGTTCTAATTTTTCCTTTCACAAGTCAAATAGTATCTTATCATAATAAATCTAAGATATTAACAATATAACTTTACTTTGTTAATTCTAGCACGCGCATTTGCACGGGCCACTTTGCTAGTTATATGAAAGTCATGTGAGCCTATATCATGGTAAAGATATGTTCCAACCATGATTGCGAAGTTTTCAAAGCAAACAAGCAACTAGGAAAAAGTGTGCCATGTGCTCAAAACAGAGACATATGGAGCCGCACAAGCCTATAAATGCAATGGGGTCAACCACCGAAGCACCCTCACATCAACAACTCCAAAGGGATAATCCATTTGTACTTGAAGTCTCTTAGGTCCAAGTTCTTGAGTGATGACCATAAATACGTTCATATGTAGAAATAGCAACCATTCGTATATTTAAGCAACACTGTTGAAGCCTTATCTAAAGAAATTGCGTAGGCTTGAGAAGCATCGAGGATTATTCTACCACATAGGACCAATTAGTGTAAGCGGTTTGCTGCGTTCATGCTTGTTCAGAGCAGCTGGACCTTCTTTACATCTATACTAGTGCTACATGTATTGCTTGTCGTGCTTGGGATATCCAGATATCAAGCTGGTTGAGTCTGCACAAATTCTTGTAGATAACAAGTTGGTTACGTCTGTAAAATTCCTGTTGTGTCTAGGTACAGTTGGCTTCCTACGTGCATGGACACCTTCTTCGGTTGCTATGCTCCGAAATGGTAACAATAGAAGTAATGATGATTGTCTAGCTTCAGGATGATAAGAACTAAAAAATTGTATGTTCTAAAAGCATTGAGATGTATTTAAATTGCTACAGTTGCAAATTTTTCCATCTTCAATATATTTTTAGGTGTAGACGTAGAATTCGTAATTATTAAATTGCCCACTCTATATCAGCTTTTGGAGCTACTCGTCAACAAAATCGACAAGCTCGTTTCTAGTTTTCAATATATATCCTGGAATAGTCACATCTTCACCATATGGAGAGGCCCGATCGGTGAAGGGGGCGGGCTTGCCGGCTAAACCACCACAATCACTGCCTCAGGTCCACCAAGGAAGCTAGTAGTGGACGATGTAGAGGAGGTGAGAGGTCAATATGGATAAAATGGTGATGGCGGCCCATGAAGTCACATGCCATCCGTTTGGATATGAGGTTATAATAGGTCTCGATGGAGCAGGGAAAGCGATGAAAAATACTCAACATGTTTTACATGACAACACCCAATCGCCAAGCATTGCTACATCAATGGACGATTCTAGGGTTGTTAGGGGGTGCGGTTGAGTTGTCAAATTGTTATTGGATTAAGGGGGAGGAAGGGCCCCACCCACCTAAAAATCATGGGGGAGGGGGCAAGATTAGTTAGTTGGAAGGGTCTGTTGCAACCCCGTAATCAGCCCGTGCATCTACCATTTTTGCCCAATCGCTAGCGAGGACCACTAGAAGGGCCATTGCACCATGTAGAACTACCGAGAAGTAAGACCAGCAACCGAGTACCTTAATCACATGCCCAATGGAAAACCATAAATGAAGCACACACACACACACACACACACACACACACACACACACACACACACACACACACACACAACGCATGTTTAGATGGTGACCAATCCAACAGTACCAATTTTCTCTTTAACTAGCCAATGTTTTGGCTATTACTTGGATTGTTGTTATTATTTTGATACCCATGCACCCTTACCAACTCTTATTCATTTTTGTTGCCAACATTTATCAAACATGGGCTACCTAGACCATAAACAAAATATTGGCTACCTAATTTGATTATGTTTGGTCGATTTTTTGGTTTGAGCCCAAGCCAACCCTCGCACAAAGAGTGCTGGATAAAAGTAGGGTCCGTGACTGACGACCGAAACTTGAAAACTATCACAGGTATGATAGAGTGAAAAAGAGGAAAATTCCCTGTATCATATAGCTAGGCACCCGAAGAAAATAATAGCCATGTCGTTCTAAAAAATAAGTAGATCTAAACTCATGACAAGGCTACAGAATGTTAATAGTGCCAATGGCATCCTCCCCTGTCATGCCAAAGAATTATGTCGTTTTCTCTTTTTGGCAAAAGCTTAGTTACAACTTCTACTACCAAACAAAGTAACATACAGTGTGGTTGTGTAGTGTTCTAGTCATGGCAACATCATAGTGAAAGGCTGGATAAAAGATTTATGATACTCCGTAGTTTATGCCTAGGAGGAGGCAGATGCTGATTACTCCTAGTTCGTGTTGAAAAAGAAGAGAAATCATGATGTAGGCAAGAGTGTAGGTCAGATCGGGTTTAGTGGGCTGTTGAACTTGATAGTGTTCGCCCAGGTCATCATCATTGTGTTGTTGCTATTATCTTGTGCAAGGTTAGTACATCAGCACAAATCTTAGTTATTTCCTATAATACATAGCAAACCCCATTATCCGATGAAATTATTTGTTAACATGCTAATAAAAATAATTGCAGATACTCCGACAAAGTATGGAGGCTATGATGAAGCTGAGTGTTGCAGATGCTCTTGGACTATATGATATTTGTTGGTCATGAACTCCTTATCTAACTTGTGCTTGGTGGTCCTGAAATGTTTCTTGAAGGGACCATCTATGTGTGCTAAGATGAATCTACATATGGAGATGTGCTAGTATATGTATATGACATATCGTCATGAGCTTGCTATGTGCTTGTATGGATATGTACGTGCTAGCATGGATATAAGATATGGCCATGAGATTGTTATGTGCTTGTATGGATACAACCTCCGTCCTGATTTATCAGCCCCCCTTCGTATTTAGGGTCATATTTTTACCATGATTTTAACTAATAAAATATATATTCTACATAACAAAAATAACATCATCGAAAACTACATCCAAATATGAATCCAATGATATAATTTTTAATGACATGCATTAACATTTTTTAGTTAAATTTATGGTAAATTTGACACAAAACACGAAGGGGGCCAATAAATCAGGATGTAGGTAGTATGTGCTAGTTATGGTAATTTGCATATATGCGGTGCTTCCTGGAATATATGAGCCCATATATATGTTGCTGAATTGCACGGATGCTTCATTAAGAAAGCAAAAAAAAAACTAATTGGACGATAAGTCAAGTGTTACACTCGGTTTATAGGTGTAGGCAAAGTGTTGCATTCAGCTTAGGTGGCACGAGGGACGCCCTGGGCGCACCTGACTAAAGGGACTGCTTAGTTCAACGGTAAGCAGAGTATCCACGGCGACTATTCGTGTTCCAGGAACCCGGCTTACGCATATGGCGAGCACCCGGTGCAGTCACTCGGTTTACTTCTTGACACTTGGTAGACCAGTAGGCACTCTGTTAGAACCATAAGTTGAGAACACGGCTGTTGGCTTATATATAAGCCGAATATGACCGAAGCCACTCAGCTTATACCATTGGCATGTGGAAGGACCTGGGGTGCTCTGATAGAAATGTAAACTGAGTGACAAGGCACTCTGCTTACTATATGTCTATATGTCGAGCATTCCTCTAGCTAATTGGCCTATACCAAGATGCCACGCGGCCCAGCCGAGCAGACACATATTGCTTTCGGCGTACTCTTTGCTGAGCATTCGACAAAAAACACTCGGCTTACACTCAGTTACCGGCTGGTATAACTTACACCGCTGATACCCACTTCAACGGGCTCGAGGCCGGCTACTACACTTCCACGCGCCCGTGCCATTTACATGCTATTTCCTTCATTCCACGAATAAAAGATGGTTTCATTGCTTTTGCATTGCATATATGAATGTAACATAGCGGATAAGGCCGGCCATGTGTACGTGTGTGCCCAGTTCCACTTGTTTGGTGCTGATAACGTGTGAGAGGTATCGATCGGCAATAAAGTGTGTCTACAAACATGCATGTCTGATGGACGGAATAATTGCACGCTATCAGCTTATGCTTTTGAGGAGAAATTTGCAAAAGCAAGTTGCCACTCATTCATCTGCGCGTTTCACCTTTATTCCTTGAGTCCTGTGATGGTCTTTGGACCTACGGCGTGTAGGGTGGTGGTGGGGTTGGCCGCGGCTAAGATTAAAGAAGCAGATCGAGACATGTCTTTGTCTCCATCCCCTCCCCACTACATCATGTACGTGCTCTTTTTCCAAAGGAATTTGTTACGTGCCAAACTGCCCAAGACCCAAAGTGTGAGTCTCCACCCGCCTATATAAACTCCCACACAGCTGTGGAGCTCAAAGCATCATCTAGATTGGACTAGCAAGATTTCATGGCTACACAAGGCAGAACCGGTGTAGCCCTCACCGCGGCGCTGTGCGCCATGTGCTTGCTGCCGGTGCTGGCCACGGCGCAGCTCCGGGTGGGGTTCTACCAGAAGAGCTGCCCCAACGCGGAGGCGCTTGTCCGGCAGGCCGTCGCGGCCGCCTTCGCCAAGGACGCTGGCATCGCCGCCGGCCTCATCCGGCTCCATTTCCATGACTGCTTCGTCAGGGTACGTATCTATCTCCACAATGAGTTCATGCGTGCATATACATTTCGGATCAATTGTGCCAACGCGTGGCTAGCTCCAGCCTCCAGGGGCAAAGAAAATAAGAACACCTGTGGTGTTTTACAGCATGTTAGCTAGTAGCAAAGATAAAGATCTAGCACTAGTTGTAGGGGGGCGGATTTTACTTCCTGGGAAAAAACTATCAGTTTAGTGGCACACCTCCAAAATGTACTACCACATCAGCGTGTAAAGTTAGTTCTGTAAAAATTATCGCAGGTGTAGCCATTAATTTTGATTTTTTCTATGTCATTTGATTGAACTATGGAGAGTTAGAGGGTAGTAGTATGTTTGCGTGAGGAACCATTGCTTGATTTTTTTTATAATTTTTTTTTTTTGAGAATAGGAACCGTTGCTATATAGAGAGAACTGCAAAACCATAGTTTGCAAAATGGAAAAGCTAAATGTGTTATCTGTGGAGATAAAGGGAAAGTCAAAAGCAGAAAGGTCAAGCATGTTATCTCTCGAGACAAAGAGTAGAAAGCATAATAAAGCTTAAAAGTAGTTAAATATGAAAGTAGCAGGTGATATATTCCCCTGCTGGCCTGCTGTATTTCTTTCTTCGGAGGTAACCCATATCCCCCTGCTGACAAAGTGGCAAGAAACAAAAAGAAAAGCCTAATAATGTTTCCACTGGAGATAAAGGGAAAGCCAAAAGCACAAAAGCTAAACTGGGAAACTACGAAAGCAGCAGCGAATATATGCCCTCCTGTTTTCCTTGTCTGGAGGCAACGCATGTTCCCCTGCTCGCCAAACCTTTCGTCGGACGAATCTCAGTGCTCTTTTAATTCATTAATTTTCTCCCCAATTCCCCATGCATGATGCACGCATGCATACATGGTCACTTGAATGACATTGAACATGCATGCATGCATAATGTCACTTGAATGATATTGTAGTACTACATGCCTCAGTGCCTGCATTACATGGTCACTTGAATGATATTGTACATGCATGCATACATGGTCCCGTTGTATGATGTTGTAGTTGTACATACATGCAACCAGTTAAAATGCAATTTGCCACGCGAACTGTTAGACTGCATTTACATATGTATATTGTAACATTGTATACCACCTCATTATATATATATATATATATATATATATATATATATATATATATATATATGTGATAGGCCACCCCTAGAGGGTTATGCCGGTTCCCCCCAAAGCCTATTGTCTAACATGGTATCACGCTAGGTTAAGTCCGCTTCCGCCTAAAAACCATAAAGCCGCCGCCGCCACCGCCGCCGCCGCCGCGCCTGCCGCCGCCGTCGCCCGACTGCTATGACGTCCGCCGCTGCGTCCGGCTCCACCGCCACCGGTTTTCTGCTGGCCTCCCTCGCGGCACTTCTCTCGAGGCCGCTGGATGCCGCCTCCCTTCAGGCGCCGATCGGGACACGGAGCGTCGGCTCCCTCTTCGCGCTCCCGCCGGCTGCTACTTCGCCCGGGCAGGCGCTTGTGGCCCACACCACCGTCGCCCTGTCATCCGCGGCTGTCGCGCCCTCAGCCACTGCGCTGCTGGTGGCGGAAGACGTCGCGCTGGCAGGCTTCGCGGCGTCAACCGCGGCCATCGCGCCCTCTGTCACCGCGCCGGCTGCCCCTCTGACTGTCTCCACGGTGTTCTCACTCAGCCAGTCTCCTCGATGGGATCGCAGTCGCCGCCGCCGTTTCACTTCGGCCATCTCATCACCATCAAGTTGTCGCCGGACAATTACATCTTCTGGCGCGCGCAGGTTCTTCCGCTTCTTGGGAGTCACTACCTGCTTGGCTATGTCGACGGCTCTCTCCCTTGCCCTCCTGCGCTGGTTGACAGCGTGCATGGTCCGGTCTATAATCCGGCTCACCGTGTCTGGACAGGGCAGGATCAGGCGAACCTCTCCTCCATCCAGGGGTCGCTCTCTCCGGCCGTTGCTGGGCTTGTTGTCTTTGCCAAGACGTCCCACGAGGCATGGACTATTCTTGAGCGCTCGTTTGCGGCACAGTCGCAGGCTCGTGTATCTGGGCTCCGTCGCCAACTTGGGGAGTGTCAGAAGCTTGACTCCACCGCCACTGAGTTCTACAACAAAGTCAAGAGTCTCGCCGACACGCTGGCCTCCATTGGACAGCCCCTCACCGACTCCGAGTTCAACTCATTTATTGTCAATGGTCTTGATGAGGAGTATGACGCCCTAGTCGAGATCATCAATGAGAGGGGCAACTCCACGCCCATGCCAGCACACGAGGTCTTTTCACGCCTCCTGCTTACTGAGCAACGAGTCGAGACGCGCCGATCCAGGGGCAACGGCGCCCTCTCGGCAAACGCCGCCACCAAGGGTGGTCGCTCCTCTGCTTCATCCAGGGCTCCTTCGGGGCAGTCACCACCACCCGCCTCGGCCCCTCCTCCTACTGCGACGCTACCAGGGGCTGGCGGTCCACGTGTGTGCCAGCTTTGTGGTCGCGATGGGCACTGGGCCTCGAAGTGTCACAAGCGCTTCCAGCGGGGTTTTCTTGGTCTTGGCAATGACGGGAAGGATACACGCAACTTTGCTCGTCAGGTCGCCATGGCTGATCATCCGCCGCCGCAGAAGCCACAGGGACACACTCAGTCCTACTCCATTGATCCCCACTGGTACATGGACTCTGGGGCGACAGAGCACCTGACCAGTGAGATGGGGAAGCTTCACACTCGTGAACCCTACCATGGCTCCGACAAGATCCACACCGTCAATGGAGCAGGTATGCTGTTGATGGATAAGCTCAATGCTGTTGATGGTGTGCTTCTTTCTTCTTCTGATGCGACCGAGTACCGGAGTATTGTTGGTGGGCTCCAGTACTTGACGATCACGCGACCAGACATTTCCTATGCTGTTAACCGAGTCTGCCAGTATCTGCAGTCACCCCGTGACACTCATTGGTCTGCTGTTAAGCGGATTTTGCGCTATATTCGTTTCACGGTGGCTCATGGTTTGCATATTCGGCCGTCTGACTCTGGTTGTCTTTCAGCATATTCTGATGCAGACTGGGCTGGCAATCCGGATGACAGGCGATCCACGGGGGGTTATGCTGTCTTCTTTGGCTCTAACATGATTGCCTGGAGTGCTCGGAAACAGGCTACTGTCTCGCGTAGCAGTACTGAGGCTGAGTATAAGGCTGTGGCCAATGCCACATCAGAGATTATCTGGGTACAGTCCTTGCTTCAGGAGTTAAGTATACCCCAATCACAACCTCCTGTTCTTTGGTGTGATAACATCGGTGCTACATACCTTTCTGCAAATCCGGTATTCCATGCCCGAACGAAACACATTGAAGTTGACTATCACTTTGTGCGTGAACGTGTCTCTCAGAAGCAACTACAGATCAAGTTTATTTCTTCCAAGGATCAACTTGCTGACATCTTCACCAAGCCATTGCCTTTGCCACAGTTTGAGACTTGCAGGCGCAATCTTACCCTTCTAGATTCATTAGAAAGTGGCTAAGATTGAGGGAGGGTGTTAGACTGTATTTACATATGTATATTGTAACGTTGTATACCACCTCATTATATATATATATATATATATATATATATATGATAGGCCACCCCTAGAGGGTTATGCCGGTTCCCCCCAAAGCCTATTGTCTTACACGAACTAAAATTACAATGATCATTGTGAATGGCCCAGAGTTAATTTTGATCTTTACTTGATGCAGGGATGCGACGCCTCTGTCCTGCTGGCCACCAACCCCGGCGGGGGCAGGACAGAACGGGTGGCTCCTCCGAACAACCCCAGCCTCCGTGGCTTCGAGGTGATCGACGCCGCCAAGGCCGCCCTCGAACGGAGCTGTCCCCGCACCGTCTCCTGCGCCGACATCCTGGCCTTCGCCGCCCGCGAAAGCATCACCCTCACCGGCAACGTCGTCTATTCTGTCCCCGCCGGCCGCCGCGACGGCAGCATCTCTCGCGAGGAGGACGCCAACAACAACCTGCCCCCACCCACCTTCACCGCGCAGCAGCTCATTGACCGGTTCAAGAACAAGACCCTCACGGCGGAGGAGATGGTCCTCCTCTCCGGCGCCCACACCGTCGGCCGCTCCTTCTGCTCCTCCTTCGTCGACCGCATCTGGAACGGCAACACTCCCATCGTACGTCCCTCTAGTGAGACACCATATATTAGTTTACGTTGGCATGAAACTTACGTACGTGTGTTGCATTATCATCTACCAGGTGGATGCAGGGCTGAGCCCGTCGTACGCGGCGCAGCTGCGGGTGCTATGCCCGTCGAACACGTCGCAGGCGACGGCGCCGATCGACCCGGGCTCGCCTAACGTGCTGGACAACAACTACTACAAGCTGCTGCCGCGCGGCATGGGGCTCTTCTTCTCCGACAACCAGCTCCGGGTCGACGGCAACCTCAACGTGCTGGTGAACCGCTTCGCGGGGAACGAGACCCTGTGGAAGGAGCGCTTCGCGGCCGCCATGGTCAAGATGGGCCGCATCCAGGTGCAGACCGGCAACTGCGGCCAGGTACGGCTCAACTGCAACGTCGTCAACCCGACGTCGTCGTCGGTCAGCCTGGCGGGCTCAGTCGAAGAGGACGGCCTCGTCGCCACAAGCTAGCCGAGACTCACGCACACACTTGGAGCACCGATCGAGTCAGCATGGTGTTCGCCCGCTTTTTCCTCGGACTTGCTAATAATCATTTTTTTTACTCATTGTCTCCTATGTCATGCATGTGTGCGGTTTTGTTTTGTTTTGTTACGGACTACTTGCCGCATGTGCCAAGTTTGTTTTCTCGCCCTGAATTCAAGCATGAATTGGTAGCCAGCGGTGTTCCTCAGCTGTTTGGCTAATGGAATAAATATGGTTACATCTCAAAAAAAAAAACGTTTGTTTTGTCGCCAATCGGAATTAAACTCTAGCCCTCAATTGTGCCCATTTGAATTGACCAACGCTCATATACTCTACACGATCAACAATACACAATTTTGACTGAGTGTTTTTTTGTCACATGCTTGGTAATTTCCAATTATGGTTAACGAGACTCTGCCCCTAAGGGTTCGCACAACCAAACTTTCGATAATAACACATGCCCATGCTCCGTATCATCTACAGACACAATCATCATCGAAGCCCTAACTATTCAAGATGGAATTCATTCGGCAAACGGTCACGAATTAACGACATCACACACTATGAAGTCTTCACCGCGCTTTCGCGGGATCGCCATAGAAATAGGCTTCTTGACTCTTTTCAGATGTTGAGAAACTTTTTATTCAGTGTTAAACTATGATTTGGTAGAAACTGGCTCAACGCATCTGGTGTGTGGCCTATCTCTTTATATAGAGTACCAAAAGGTATGATACAGGTACAAATACAGTTGTCATACAATATACAGTCTAACACCTTTCCTCAATCTTAACTGTGGCCTGAGGTACTCATTAAGTTAAGCTTGCGTCTACAGCCTATGAACAAAGGAAGAGACAACGGTTTGGTGAAGATATCAGCAAGTTGATCCTTGGAGGAGATGAACTTGATCTGCAGGAACTTCTGTGCAACTTGTTCTCTCACAAAATGATAATCAACTTCGATGTGTTTTGTTCGGGCATGAAATACCGGATTCGATGAGAGGTATGTGGCGCCGATGTTGTCACACCAAAGGACAGGAGGCTGATTATGAGAGATCTTCAATTCTCGAAGAAGAGACTGGCCCAAATAAGCTCAGCAGTGGCATCAGCAATCGCCTTGTACTCAGTTTCAGTGCTACTCCGAGAAACTGTAGCCTGCTTCCGAGCACTCCAGGCGAACAGATTAGGACCAGAGAATACTGCATATCCCCCCCGTGGATCACCAGTCATCTGGGTTACCAGCCCAGTCCGCATCACTGAAGGCTAAGAGCGCACTAGATGGCGCCGACCGGAGATGAAGTCCATAAGAGGCAGTGGAGCGAACATAGCGCAAAATACGCTTGACGGCAGTCAAGTGAGGCTCTCGAGGGGAATGAAGATACAGGCAGACATGGTTAACTGCATACGAAATATCAGGCCATGTGACAGTAAGGTACTGAAGAGCCCCAACAAGACTTCTGTACTGGGTAGCATCATCAGTAGAGAGGAGAGTCCCATCAGTAGCAGAAAGAGTGTCAATAGATGACATGGGAGTAGTAGCAGCCTTGCACTCCAACATGACAGCACGCCGCAAAAGATCCTGAGAGTACTTCTGCTGAGAAAGAGCAAGACCATCTGACGGATATGTGACCTCTAGGCCAAGAAAATAGTGAAGTCTGCCGAGATCCTTGACAGCAAAATCAGAACTGAGAGCCAGAACCAAACGATCAGTCGCCGCAACAGAGGAGCTGACAAGGATGATATCATCAACATACACCAGAATGTACATAGTGACTTCCGGTCGCTAAAGAATAAACAGTGAAGTATCAGCAGTGGAGGGCACAAATCCATGAGCACGAAGTGCAGAACCCAGGCGAGCATGCCAAGCACGAGGAGCCTGTTTGAGACCATAGAGTGCTTTCACCAAGCGACAGAGATGCTGAGGACGATCGGGGTCAACAAACCCAGGGGGCTGGCGCATGTAGACCTCCTCCTGAAGAACACCATGCAGAAACGCGTTCTGAACATCCAATTGACGAAGGTACCAACCTCGTGTGACAACGAGTGACAGAAGCAGTCGAATAGTGGTTGGCTTAACAACAGGACTGAAGGTATCCTCGTAGTCAAGACCATACCGTTGCTTGAAGCCCTTAGCAACCAGCCGCGCCTTGTACCGCTTAATAGAACCATCTACATGTCGTTTGACCTTGAAGACCCACTTAGAATCAATGACGTTGATCCCTGGACGTGGAGAGACCAGCTTCCAGGTGCCATTCTGACGAAGAGCCTGAATCTCGAGGTCCATAGCAGCACGCCAGTGAGGAATACTCATCGCTGCTTGATAGTGTCGGGGTTCTGCGGTAGGATCGGACTGCACTTGGGCCAAGCAGGCAGCGATCCATGCAATAGTGCCATCAGTACGTACCTTGGGCTGGTGAATACCGCTCCGGCTGCGTGTATGAGGCCGAAGAACCACAGGAGCTGGAGACGGGTCATTAGCTACCTCATCCGGAGAGGCAGGCGATGGTGCAGGAGACGGGCTCCTGAGAGACGAGGCCTCAAGTGAGGCAATCGCTGGTGAGTCCAGCCCAGGCGGGGAAGCTTATGTAGGCGAGGCGGGCACAGGGGAGGCCAGCCGAGGGGAGGCGGGCGGTGACGCCACGGGCGATGAAGACCGCGCAGGCGAGACGGGGGCCCCGCAGCCAGCCGACCATGCGGGGGCCGGAGCGGCTCGGCCAGGCGGAGCCGAAGGGGCGTCCTCGGGACCCGCGCCCGCTGCATGTCCCATGCAGCGATCAACGGCACGATCATCAGAGGCAGGTCCGGACGACGCCGGTCCGGTAAGGAGCTCGAGGCGAGCGCCGCGTCCAGTACCTGCACCGTGGTTAGGTAATAACACAGGCGAATATGCAACATCCTCAAGTTGATCAGGCGAAACAAAGGAGATAGTAGTGGACGATGACAATGTTGGGGAAGATGGCATATTGGAAAAAGGAAACAGATTTTCGTCAAAAATGACATCACGGGAAATATAGACTCTGTTTGTTGGAACATGGAGACATTTGTAGCCTTTGTGAAGAGCACTATACCCAAGGAAGACACACTTTTTGAAGCGAAAGTCAAGCTTGCGACTGTTGTAGGGCCGAAGGTGCGGCCAACAAGCACAGCCAAAAACCTTGAGGAAAGTATAGTCAGGAAGTTCATTAAACAGCAGTTCAAGCGGTGTCTTCATATTTAACACTTGAGTAGGAGTGCGATTAATCAAGAAACAAGCAGTGGTAAAAACATCACTCCAAAAACGAAAGGGCTCTGATACCATGTTAAACTATGATTTGGTGAAAACTGGCTCAACACATCTGGTACGTGGCCTATCTCTTTATATAGAGTACCAAGAGGTACGATACATGTATAAATATAGTTGTCATACAATATACAGTCTAACATTCGGAATGATCCAGGTTAAGCTGGATCTTCATTGATTGATGGCAGAGAACACAATGGAAAATGCCACAATGTGTGGTCAATGGACCAAGGATTTAAGAAAAGGAAGTAGGAAAAAAAAACTCAGAGCTACAACATGCAGCCTGAGCGAAGAAAGTGGCGACAATCTCACAACAGATCTCCCAAAGGACTCTCCATGCAGGTTGCACCAGCATGCCTTCATAGCTCAACTGTGCTCCTGATTGCTGCTAGAATGTACACCGCATTTGCAATCTTTCCTTTGAACTTGCAGAGGTTTCGTTATTGCCAAATTTCCCAGAGCACCAGGAACGCTGGTGATTTGATCCCTCTCCTCTGACTAGCCGTAGTAGTGCTAATGATGGAGGTCCGGATCTCCATGGGGTTTCTACCAGCCTCCCATGCAGAATGACTGAAGGACGAGCAACCCTGCCATGAAGATATCTTGCTCCAAACCTCCAAATACACATTGCATCGCTAGAATAGGAGATCCAAGCATTCAAGGTTTCGAAGGCAGAACTGACAGAAATATCCATTCTCCCGTCGTCGACGTGGACGGCGGTCATTGAACCAGAGACGGTTCTAGGCGAGCAGCCAGGCGAACATTTTTAGTTTTCTCAGCGCCCAGGCCTCCCAGATCACCTGCTTGAAGGCCTCCTTTTTAACCTCCACGAATTGTAGGCGACACGCTGATTTCGCCGAGTAACTCCCGAGCTCTCAAAATTCCACTTGATTTTGTCTTAAGTTCCATCTTGCAGTGCTGCTGCCAAACTGCTGTGGTCTTGTCGTTACCAATGGAAACCGTAGCGCCACGTTGAAGAGGGCTTGTCGTGATGGCGCCATGCCAACCAGAGCCATCGAAGGAGAAGTGCTCTGCTGAATCTTTGGAGGTCAAGAATTCCAAGCCCTTAGCCCTCCATGCTCCGTCGGTGAGCACACACGATTCTAATTGACCTTGTAGCTCGCCCATGAGATCCTACTCGTGAACCCATAAGAAAAGGCGTTTGAACTTGTCAATGTCTTTGACGAGCTTCTTTGGAGCGTGCAACATTGTCTGGGCGAAATGGGCAGCACAGTTAGCACACATGCACTGCACCAGAACTGGCCTTCCCGCAATGGACATGAGACGCCCCTTCCAGTCTGCCAGCCTAGCACAGATCCGGTCTAGGATGAACTGGAGGTGCACAAGGTGTAGTCTGCCAGTGGTGATTGCTAGGCATGAAACATACGTGCGTTGTTTGAAAAAAAAAACTGGTCAGCATGCATATGTGTGCTTGTGTTTACGCAAATGATAAGTACCAAGTTTTTTGTTTTTCCAATTGGAATGAAAGTCTAGTCCTCAATTGTGCCCATTTGAATTGACCTCATATAGTCTACATGGTCAACAATACACAATTTTGACCGAGTGTTATTCTGTCACATTCATGCTAATTTCGAGTTATAATGAACCACTCTGCCCCTAAGGGTGCACACAACTCAACTTTCAATAATAACACATGCCAATGATCCTTATCATCTACACACGTACTCATCATCGAAGCCCTAACTATGCAA